AACTTTTATAACTAAGACAATTGAACCCTATGTAAAAAAAATATGCATATATTTAGCTAACTGTTAGCAAAAAAAAAAAAGGAATGCCAAGAAAAACTTAGTTTTTGAGCTTTTAAATTTGTAGCTTATAATACTTAAGTCTAATATTGAAAATTTAAAAACCAAAGTTTGGTTTTTACTTTGTGATATTCAAAATATAAAATAATTACTAATTATTAAAGATGATAAAAATTTGTTTTTTTGAATCATCAGATAATTGTTTAATTAAGAGATATATGTAACAATTTATAACCAGTTTAAAATATTGCATAGCTTCATGATTGTTATTTTGAAAAGTATGTATAGTTTAGTAAATTGGTAATATATTATAAAAATTATATTCGAGTATATAAAGTTAGCATACTGTATTCTTCTCTATAATTTAAAGCTGAGTTTGTAGTTTTAAACATTTTTGGTTAATTTAGATGATAAAATTGATTATGTTATAGTTAAAATATTTTTTAGTTAGTTTTATAGTTGTTATCTGAAACTCAAAACTATATATAAAATCCCAAAACCAAAACTGAAACCTGAAACTCTTTCTGAAACTTTAATATTACTGAAAGGCTTAGAAATTTAATTTTAAACTTTAAGACTTTAATTAAATTGCATTTTAGGAATATTTAGTTACTTTATATAAATGTGCATTAATTATTAACATTCTAATTTAAAAAGTTTAGAAAGGTTTTAGATTTCAGGTAACAAGTATAGTTAGTTTAAATTATAAATATATTATTATTGTTTTGAAGCATATATTAGTATCAATCATCAATCAATATATATAATGTAGTTAATTGGTTATTAATCAACTTGTATGATATATGTTAGATTTTAATTCAGTATATATATACATACTATGACAGTTTAAAAGATTGAATTCAAAGATAGAACAAAGGTAATGAATTGTTATTAGGAAAATAGTTATCTATGTAATGTTCTTTAAGAATGATAGAGGAGGTTTTTCAATTTGATACAAAATCAAGATGATCATTTAAAAAGTGTTACAAGATAAATATTATGATTTCAAAAGAACATAGGTTTGTTTGTCAAATTAAAAAAGCTTTATTAACTTTATTAATATATTGTAAAGGCAGTATAATTATATTATTATGGGCTTGAATTTGAAACTACTCTAAACTATACTAAACTGTCTTTCAGAAGAAGGAAATATTACCCATTTTATAATGAATTAAAAAAAAGAAAAGCCCATGCAAAACTATGACTTTTTTTATTATTTCCAACACTTTTTAACCTTATTTGTTATAACTTTTAACCTCTTTCATACAGCCTTTCATTCTTTAACATTTCTTATAGCTTTCATAATACCAATAAGAAATATTTTAGTTTTATGATTTCAGAACTAGAACTTATCATATTGTCTTCAATCACACCTCTTTTAACATCATCTTATACCTAATCCAAGTAAAGCAGATAAAGTTAACATTTATTTTTGGCATAACAGGTTGGTTCAAATTAACTTTACTTTAATTGAAGAAGTGGTTAGGTTTTATATAGAGATTTATATACCTTCATATGGCTTTATTTGAACTGAGCATACATGTTTCAAATGGATCATCATGGGCAACTCTAATTAGGTAAGTATGCCACAATAATATCCATTTTCAGATTCCAAAAGGTGTCAGTTTTATCTTTAACATTTCTTCTCACTTTGATTTTTCATATCTTGTGAAAAAGGTTTACAGAGGTCAGGTTCATAAAGCATTCCTTATAATTCAGTTAGTAATTCGAGAGTTCAATTTACAGCTTACTCAGTAAAAAAAAAAAAATTTTTATTTTTTTTTTTATACTATACTATACTAATGAAATTAATTGTTAATTTCAAGACTAATCTTAAACAACTAACTGCAAGTTACATAACTTTAGTTTGAAAAATAAAAAAAATTTAATATAACAAAAAAATAACATTCATGTTCAAGATGAAGAGTAAAACTTTTGCTATACACCCTAACTTACATATATAGCTGTTATACATAACTATGACTTATATACAGATTCGAAACAAAAAAAAAAAATCAAAAAAAAACATGTCCATATTCAAAAATAAGGAGCATACCAAACTCTTGTTATATGCATCAAATTATCTTCATATATAACTGTTGTGACCAATCCAAAAAAAAAACACAAGATAAAAATATTTAATTTTTTTTTTATATTTTGCCATTTTACTTATTTAGCACTTTTTCATAATACTTCTTTGGCAGCTGCAGGTTAAAAGGCATTATTATTATCTTCTCATCTATTGTTCTTAATTTATATACATCATTTACCAGTTTATTATGAATATAGAACAGTTCTTTATACTTCAGGATAAACTTTTCACTTTGCAAATACCTTTTTGCAGCATTTTTAAACAAAACTTTATCTCTAATATTAAATTTAAAGCTGATTTTATAGTGCTTATCATGATAATTCTTTTGCTTCAATTGTTGTTAGCTGATCTGCTAAATGGCTTTTTTACAAAAGACAAGTATGATGTTTACAAAATTAAAAGTCTTTTGCAATATGGTTTCTTTCAAGATTTCTCCTTTTTGGCATAAATAAATAGGCAATTTTGCTTTATAACTATATACTAACAGGAAAGGTAACATTCAGGTAGCAGAATTTCGAGTGGTTTAATAGATAAATAATATTAAGAGAATTAACAAGTTCCAACTGATAACATTTTCTACAAGTTTGGTGATAGCTTCACACAAAGTTTTGTTAAAGCATTCAACTAGGTTATTAGTACAAAAGTAGTATGATATAAAGGAACATTGCTTAATTTTTAGTTTTTTTAATAGGTGTCTTATTTGCTAATTCCTAAAGTATGTTTCATAATCTGACAAGATTCAATTTGGGCACTTATAGTAACACACTAAATCATCGTAAATAAATTTTGCAATAGTTTAGGCATCTGCTTTCTGCATAGCATGTTCTTCAGACCAATAAGTTATGTAATCAGTAGAGATAATAATATAATAATTCATCTTAGGTGTTCATAGCAGAGAGCAAATATATCTATCCTAATTTTATAAAAGAGTACAGTTATTAGTAGCAAGTATAAAGAACCTTGTTTATGTGATTAGGTTCATTGTTAACATTAGTCATATGTTTGAACATAACAGCATATATTAATGTACATTTGGAGTCAAAAATATATATCATGAATTTTCTTGAACATAATGTTTTTGTTAAAATATTCATCTACCAAATGCATATATGTCACTAACAAAATTGAATTAACTTCATGTTGTTGCAAGACTTGTAATAGCCTTTCTTTATTCTTTCAGTATTTCTAATACAAGAATCCATTATTGAGATTGAAAAAGGCACTCTTCTTCTTGATTTATTGTTGCTAGGCTTAGTTAACAGTTGAAAGTAGATATTGCTTTTCTATATATTGCTTTAATTGCTAATAGTGAGCAAGATCTATCTTTATAATTTTTTTTTTTAGTACTTATTTATTTGATTTAGATATATATGTATATATATATTTATATTTCTGTTTTGTACTATTAATTTTCCACCATTTATTAAAATATTTAATGATTTTTTTTTTTAGTTTTTTATTTATTTATTTATTACTTATCTTTTTTTTTTATATTATTTGTTAGGTGGCTTTATTTTTTTTTATTTTTTTTTTTATTTGTTCTTTTTGTGATAAAAGAGAGTCAGAATACTAGTAACCTGGTCTGAATTTTATTTGGTGCAATACTGAATTTTTTTCTTGTTTGTTTGTTTTTATTTAATTTTTATTTTTTACTAATCTTTTTTTTTCATTTTTTTTTATTAGCAGAACAATGACACACTTTATTTGAAGGCTCTTTAATTTGGAATAATGCATCTACATTATTATAAACATGTCTATGATGGTAAATGATTCTAAAATTATAAGGCTGCAGCCTTAACACCTAACAGGCTTATTGACTATTTAATGTAGAAGTTTAGAGCCACTTCAAGGCAAAATAATCAGTTATCACAACAAAGAGATCCAACTTGACATAATGATGAAAATGCTCAATCACCCAAAAGATGGCAAGACACTTATATTTGGTGGTAATGTAATCTATTTTAGCTTTAGTTAGTTTACAGCTTGCATATATGACTATATACTCTTTATCTTAATTGTCTTTTTGTGCTAATACAGCACTTGGAATAAACCCAGAAACATCTGTATAAATTATGAATATTTTATTAAAATTTGGATAATATAAAATTAGTACATTAATAAGATGTTGCTTTAATTTATTAAAGCCATCATCTTGATTTTTTTTTAATCAAATTTAATGTTTTTTCATAATAACAAATGCAAAAGACATGCTATAGGGTGAATTTGGAAATAAACTTTTAATAATATAAAGCTAACTCTAAAAAACCTTATAATTCATAAAGGAACTGAGAGACAGAAAAGTTATAAACTTTCTCTACTTTTCTTTTGTTAGGGTGAATGCTCTTTTTATCGACAATATGACCTAGAAATTGCAAGTGGGTTTAAAGAAAAAGCATTTATTTAGGTTTAATTTCAACTCTATACTCTTTAATTTATTAAAAACAGTAACAAGATAGTTAGTATAGTTCTTAAATGTTAACAAGTAGAAGATAATATTGTCAAGATACATGATAACAAATTTATTTAAAAATTTGGCCAACACTTTATTCATCATTTGTTGAAATATGACAAAAGCATTTATTAGGCTAAATAGCATTATCATGAATTTGTATGTTTCAAAATTCATAATGAATATAGTTTTTTTCTTGTTAGTATTCTTTATCTGAACTTGCTAATATTCAGATAATAGATCCAATATCGAAAACTATGCAGCTGATTTAAAAATTTCTAGAAGGTCATCAATATGAAAAAGAAGAAATGCATCTTTCTTCATAACTGAATTGAGCTTCTGATAGTTGATATAGAGGCATAATTTATCATCTTTTTTTGGCACAATAACTACAAAAGATGTTTATAGTCTAGTATTTTCTTTGACTAAACCTTTCACTTTTAACTTTTTAATTTCATTCTTTATAAAACTGTGCATACTAGAGGCAGCATAGTAGAGAATTTGCTTAATTGAAGAAGCACTTTCAGTGTTTATTTTGTGAACATACACCAACATTTGTTTAAGATTGTCTATAGTTTCAGCAAAAACATTCATTTTCTTACTCAATATGTTGCTCACATGGTTCTTTTAATTATTTATTAGAGCTTTATCATCAAGATTCTTCTTTAACTTTTTGAATATACTTTCTTCTTTTTTCACAGTTTCCTCTATAGGAACACTTTTAACATCAGACAAATACATAGCTAAACTTTTATAATCAAGCTACAGATTATTGTACAACTCCAACTCACTATATTAGTTAATCAAAAATCCTTTTACTTTATCTAAATCTTTATTATCAAATTTGAAGTTGTCAAATAGGTTTTTATCATTTAGTTTTTTCAGTTTTTTTAGGCTTATTTTTTATTGCTAGAAGAGTTAGTAGGATTTTTCCTTTATAAAATATAGATATTTCTATGAATTTAATCTGACATTGCACATACAGCTTTTTTTTATTAATGTACAAATAGACATTAGTTTGATAAAACTAATTTATATCTAACAGGAGGGTCTGTTTAGTCAATTCTATAATCTAAAATGTGGTCAAGACCACTACACTGCTTATGACCAACTTAAGGTTGATTATTTTTTCAAGAGCCCTTACCCTGGCTCTATTTGCAACAATGACCATTGTTGTAAAAGGTTCATTAATCTTTAATTGCAGTTTTTTTGCTATTTTATTTGATATTATGCTGATGATAGCACCTGAATTAAGCATAGTCACTATAAAGTTTCCTTTAATCCTAATGTGGCAATGAGCAGCAGTAGTTCTTGTGATTGTAGGAGCTTGTATAATTGTTACTTCCATATAGATTGGTCAGAGTCCTAGATTGTTACAGGTATTAAAGACCTTTTTATCACATTTATCAGATAGCATTTTTGATCAAGATATTGCAGCATTTGATTTAATGTAATATTGGCTTTCATATTTAACAAATCTTGCGCAATATTATACAGTTTTAGGTTATCAACTACTTAAGTTCTTTTTTTCTATGAGGTACTTGTGGAGATCTACTAGTATGAGTGCTGTTATGATAGGCATTACTAGGACAAGCATTACTGAGCAGGCATTACTAGTAGATTTTTACTTAACAAAGCCATAGCAGGCATAATTTCAGAGACCTGATTGGGACAGAATTCTTTATTAGCTAGCATGAATGCTATTTTCCTATAGCAGCTAGATCTTTGAGTAATATACAGTTAATAACAAATGACAGAAGCAGTAAAGGCTTTATTTTTATTAATGTTTTTATCTTGTTTATCAACTATACTTATGTAATTGGCATTTCTTAAACAGAAGAGAATTTGGGTTAGTATTGCAGTATGATTTATACAAACTTAAGGCTAGGCTTAAGGTGTTACTCAATTTTGCATTTGAGGCTAATTTTGGTTTTGGGTTCTTTTCAATATACAATTATATGAGATATATTCAGATTCTTCACAATTGTAACAAATCAAACAGGCATTGTTATTGCTGTGATTACTATTATTATCATGATTATTGTAATTATTATTAGCTTAGAGTCTTGCTTTGAAATATGTAGCTAATGCAGTTGTTAACTTTTTATACTAGTAGTTAGTATTTGCATTTGCTGCAATAATCAAACAACTTTACTATTATATACTTTATTTCTTTTACTTTTCTTATTATAGTAGTTTTCCAGCTTTAATTTTATAGACACCTTGTATTGTAGCATCCAAACTATTAAGGTCTGCAATACTTAATCATGTAGCAGTCTTGGCTTTAAGGTTATTTAGAAATATTTGTATAATATATGATCTGAAAAGCTAGTTTTTAGGATCAACTTTTTGCAACAATTTCTTAGACTTGTATGCATATGAATTCACTTACTTAGATGGCTGCTGTTTTAGTTTATTTAGGTTGACCTGCCACTTATACTATTTTTTAAAGATCATAAAGTACTAGATAAACAATTGAATAAAACTTTTATTTAAACAGATTTCTCTATTCTAATATATCAAATTATCTTTTATTCCATTGTAATAATTTGTGGCAATTTTATGTAAATAACCTAAAGCTATTTTTATTTTGCATTCAAAGGACTAATTGTTAGTATTGGCTATATGATCAAAGAATTTTACCTACTTAAGAAGATCTTCTTTTTCATCTTCATGAAAAGTGTTCACATAGTAGAAGCTTGCATTAGGTCCTACAGCCTAGCCTGAAGCAAAATTTTATAATTGCAGGCTGAGCCAGGCTGAAAAATTTGCAAAACTTTATAATTACAGGCCAGTATGATCCTAAAATTTTAAAAAATTATATATAAAATTTTTGTGAACTGGTCTGGGTTGAAGAAAAAATTTAATATATATAGGCTGGGTCAGATTGCCAAAAAAATGATAACTCTAAATATGGGCCAGACCAGGTTAGAAAAAAAATTTTAACTCTAAATATAGGCTAGGCCAGGCCTCAAAAATAGGCAATTTGCAGACCTCTATTATATAGTCTAAATTAGTTTTACAAACAGAAAGTTTGATAACAGCAACAACTTCTTAAATTATTTCTTTAAATTTAGCAGCTATTTTTTGCAGAATTAATTCAAGAATGTCTAGGTCTTGTGCTTAAGCTTGTCTTTTATTATTGGTTCGATTGTTTCTACTTGACAAAAGACTGTTTGTAGATGTACAATAACTTCTAGAAGGATGGTTGTTGTTAAAGATCAATAAATTATTGTCTTCAAAAATGTTAAAAGAAATTCTAAGGTTATTAGGTTGCTAAGGGTTCATGGTTCTAATAGGTATTTATATAAAAGAAATTCTGCTATATATTTTTTTCTTAATTATTCTTGTTAAAGTAAAAAGACAATTAATAATTAAATTTTCAACCTTATTTATATTAGAGTTGATGTAGGATCTATAATAGAGCACTTTAATAATAAGGTAATTAGATTGCTATTGTTGTAGATCTTTTATTTTTTATTAAATATTATTAACTAATTGAAATATATATATATATATATATATATTTATATGTATTTTTTTTTTTTATTGATCAGTTTGTACAAGTGCTTTGTTTAGAGAAGTATTAACTTCTGAGTTCTATTCTTTCCTTTTCTCTTTTTTTTTTATTATTATTATTATGCTAATATTATTTTTATTTTTTGTAACTTAATTGAAAGTTCTTATAATAATTTTAACAACAAGGTATTCTGCATGATTTTTTAAATATAATTTCCTTCTTTTCATAATTGATCACAAACAATTTTGATGGATCTGAGCACATCTTTTTTAATCTATAGGTCTCATTCTTTCTTTAATCTTTTAACAAAGAACTCAAACATAGTCAACTTAAACTAGAAGGTTAGTATAGCATTAGGTTGATAGAATTTCAGATTTTTTTTTTTTGTGTTTCTTAAATGTTAGCTAATAAAGTTTTGGTTATTACAATCTTATAGTTATTACTTAAAATTGTAACATGTTAAAAGGTCAAATCCAGAAATAGGGCAAAGGTGCCGAATTATTGCTAAAAAAACAGTTATGTCATATAATGTTCCTCAAGAATAATAGAGATAGTTTTTCAATTTAGTACAAGGTTAAGGCGATTGTTTAAAAAGCATTACAAGATGAGTATTATGATTTCAAAAAAATGTGAGTTTATTTGTCAAGTTAAAAAAACTTTATTAACTTTATTAATATTTTGTAAGAATAGTACAATTATATTATTATGAGCTTGAATTTGAAACTACTCTGAACTATACTGAACTGTCTTTCGGAAAGAGAAAATTTCGCACTTTTTATAATAAATTAAATGAGAGAAGAGCCTATGCAAGACTATAACTCCTCTCATTATTTTTAACACTTTCAAATCTTATTTGTTATAACCTTTAACCTTTCTATACAGCCTTTCATTACTTTAATATTTTTCATGGCTTTCATAGTACTGATGAAAAATGTTTCAGTTTCATAATTCTGAGGCTAGAACCTATCATATTGTCTTCAATCGCACCTCTTTTGACATCATCTTACATCTAACCTAAGTAAGACAGGTAAGTCAACATCTATTCCTAGTGCAACAGGTTAGTTCAGGTCAACTTTACTTTAATGTTTCAGATAAATCATCATGGACAACTCTAATTGGACAATGACATCCATTTCACAGATTCTATGAGGTGTTGGTTTTACCTCTAACAACACATATGACTTGATATTATTTCAGATTAATAGTAGCTCACCCACAAGATTTTTTCTGATACATGATTTTTAGTTAATTATATCGAAGTATCAGATGTAATATAAAATCAAAACAATTGAATTAAGCAAAAGATTTTAAAGTAAGAAGCATTATCTTAAGGTTAGGATAAGAGAAGAAGAAGAACATAGTTTATACTAAAATTTTACAAAAAACTTTTTTTATTAGAATGCAGAAGGCAGTTTCATAGGTAAAATTTTGAGTTAATGGTGATTTTTTAAAAAGACATAATTTTTATATTACATCTGCTTTTTCAATCTAATTGGCTAGAATCACATGTCAGAAAAATCTTATGAATAAGCTACAGAGGTTTTATACCAGATGTTATGATTGGAAAGAGCTTTCAGCTTAACTAATTTAGCTTTGATCATAAACAAAATTAACAAATAAAAAGAATTTATTAAATGTCACTTTTATTATTAAGACAAAGTTTCTCTTTATTGGCGTTTCTCTTTAATACATTCATTACAGAGGAAGTATATTTATAACATATTTGTTTATTAACTGATTGCAAACAATTACTAACTCTGACTTTTACCAAGTGAAACTTAATTTTCTTTTTATATATTTATTTTGTGTTAAAGCTTTAAATCCTTAATAGAAGTGTCACCCTCCTAGTAGAAGTCATAAACTCTTACTAGAAATATTACTCTCCTATTAGGAGCTTCTAGCTTCTACTAAAAGCTATTGTTATCAAAAATGTGCCATATCGATCTCTCTTATATTTTGTCCAAAATAAAATAAAAAAAATAATATATAATATAATCAGGGTTGGTCAAATTACTGGTTGACCAAAAATTTGTTGGTCGAACTGGTCTGGTCAAATTGGTCAAATGGTTTGGTCAAATTGGTCAAATAGTTTAGTCTATTAAATAAATAATTTTAATATATGAATAAATAAACAAATATATTTATATACTTTATATATTATTTGATCAATTTGACCAATTTGACCAATACTAAACCCTTTGACCAACTGGTCAAATTGGTCAAACTGGTCTGGTCAAGCTTGACCATTGACCAGTCCATGCCAACTCTGAATATAATATATACTAACTAAATAAGAAAAAAATAAAAACATAAGCATAACACAGAAATGGAATTTTACAAAAGTAAAATGAAGTATATGGTTTATAGCTATGTTCGATGGTGTACATTTCCAAACTCTTGTGTTTGATTAGTTGTTGTGATTGTGTATCTTTTCTTTTTAATTTTTGTGAGAAGTTTTGGAATTTACTTATTTGCACCAGTGATACAATCCCCAAAAAGAAAAAAACTAATATGTATATAATATTTGATCATGCATTGCAAAATTTGTTACATCTGATAAATAATTGGCTGACAGTGCTGTGCAGTAGCAAATGACAGCCAATTATTTAATCGATTAAATAAATTTTATAATATTTATTAATGCATGATCAATTTTGTATTATCTGGCAATTCATAATCAAGTCATCATTGGCTAACTGAGTTTTAATTTGAATTAACATTATTATGATATAACACAAAAATATCAAAAGAAATAGATCTATGATTACAAGAGTTTGCCAGATAATATTGTTTTATGTGCATAAATACCACATGAGAGTTATGGTGTTAGGGTTAGAATTGAGATTAGAACAAGGCTTGACTTATACTAAAATTTTGCAAGATAATTTTTTATTAGAGTGTAAAAGATGGTTTCTTATGCAGCATTTTGGATTGGCAGTTATTTTTTGAAAAGCCCATTATTTCATGTCACATTAGCAGTTACTTTTAATCTTTTAATCTACAAAAGACAGTTTCTTTATTTGGGTTTAATTACTAGTGCAAATAAGTGTACACAGGCTTTCAGGTTTGTTCTAAATTATGCACTTTTTTTTTTAGTCTGCTTTAATATACAACAAAGTGCAATTAGCTAATACCATATATATGTTCTGAGTCATTTCACAATTTAGATCAATTCTGAATTGACCTAGATTATTCTTGAATTTTGAAATAATCTGTCATTTCTCAATCGATAAAAATTAAAATTAAATGCCCAAGTAATAAATTATATAACCTAAGCAATAATATTAATTATATTGTTAAAGCTCTTTTGCATGAAAAAATCAAACTTTTATATTAAGAAATCAAAAAACTTATAAAAAAATTCTTTATAATAAAATTTAGATATATTAGAATAAATGCTTTAATGCTCCAAATAAAAAAAATCATATAGGTAAAAGATGTGCAATACAAATAAATAATAAAAATCTGTATAATTAAAAAAATATCACATTAAAGCATAAAAAAGTTTTTGACAGAACAAATTTGTGTCTCCAGATTGTTTAATTATATAAAGTTCATAAATAATTTGAAAATTATATTACCTAATATTTAAATATTGCATTATATACTAATAATAAAATAGCAATGTTTTATAGGCCTGGAGCCTTATGTATTAAATGTTTAAATGATTCAAATTTGAATAAAAATTTTAACATTGTTACTAAGTATTTAAAATATAACTTAATGAATATTTTATTATTATGTATTGATGCACATATGAAAAGGCAAACTCTAATTTAATAATTTACAAAGAAAGTAATTTCTGCTCTTTAGCTAATCTTTGTTGTAGACATGTACTTTTATCTAATTTTTGTAATCTATCATAAGAAAAAGTACTACTGAAAAGAAGATCAGAAAGAGTATAGACTCTTGCTACAGCTATGAATATAAAACCAATAGCAAATTCTTTATTGTCAATGTCTAATACAGTTTGTAATAATGTTAAATCTTGTGACTTGTGAATTGTAATTGCCCAAGCAAGGCACAATGGAAATTGCATATGAAAACAAATTCCAGATTTTTCTTCTCATATATACCTAATTTGGTAATCAGCACTGCTTGTGAGCCATTTGATGTAGTCAGTATTGGACCTGTATAATTATCTATTTTGAGCAATATTAGTGTAGGAAATATGGAAGATTTCTTTTCTAGTTCATATATAATATTGATGACAATTCCCATTGCATCATTAACCAATTCGTAATTAGTTCAAATATTAGAGATAAGCATTATATGAGCACCAATTGATAAAAATAAAATTGGTCAAGGCCATTTGTTATATCAGAAAATGCTTTTCTAGCATTTGGACCTATATATACAGCCTTCATCTTGGCAACAGGCAAATTGAGTTGTCTTAGTTTTGTCAAATTGTATTTGTAAACTTTTTTCCATTTTGTAAATAATCGAATTGCATTTTAAAAGCATTTTTTGCTATTGAAGGTGCTAATGAATAAATTTTATTATTAAGTAACTGCTAGTCATATTCTGTTGATTGTCTATTTCGTAAATATAAAAGATTATAAAATATGTGCTATTCTTTAGTATTACTGCTTTGTCATTGTATATTTCTAATTTAAATGCCTTATTAAATTTAGTATAGATTATGCGACCTGCTTTTGAAAAAAAATCATTTGGTCGAGAATCTGAAGCATACATAGGAAGGTTTAAAACTGGTAGCAACTGGCCAAAGTTACCAAAAAACAATACTGAGCAACCTTCAAATAAAATATTTTGGTTTTGTAAAAAAGCCTAATGTAAACATTAATCAATTACTGCTAGAAGTCTATGTCCAATCATGCTTTTTTCATCAAAAACAATAATTTTAATGTTTTTTAATTTTTGTTAAAGCTTTCTTAAAGATTTAGAGTTAAGTTCTATATTTTTAAAATTAATAGGTAGAGACAATGCTAAATGAATTGTGCAACCATTTATATTAAATGCTATGACACCTGTTGGTGCAAGAATTAAGATAGGTGGTTCTTCCTTTGGATTAATTTTATATTTTTGTGCTATTTCAAATATATAATTATGAATGGCCTTAATTATATAGGATTTACTGATACTAGCAATACCTATAATAATAGCATATAAAGACTCAATTGATTGGTTGGTTGAATTTGGTAAAGTTTTAAAATAATGTAAAGTTACATAATTATAAATTTTTCTTTGTTTGTCATTTAATGTACTTGGATCAATAAAAACCTCATTATTATTGTTATAAAAATTGCTTTCGATCTGATTATATTTAGCTAGCTCTAAAAATAATTCTGCTTTACTAAGATCTAAAAATATTTTATATAATCCCAACTACATATTATTAGTATTAATAAAGCATTCTACAAGATCATCAGTTGCAGCTTCTAAACACCTTGTAGATATTTGCATTCAATATTCTTAAAGAAATGTATTATTATCTTTAAGTTCTTTATATTCATAATCATTACTTTTTCTGTCTTTTTTATTTTCTATTGGTTTATTAAGTAAATTATTTCTATCAAGTTCTATTTCAATAAAAAACTGATTATATAGTTCAATTCAATCAATATTAATATTGTCTTAATAAAAATCATTCATGCTTCGATGCTGAATATAGAGAAGAACCTTTAATATACAGTAATTTTTCATTCTGGCCCAAAATGAACTAATGACAAGCAAGGCCAAATTTAGATAATACAATGCTTTTTGTGAGAAATCCAATTATGTGTATATGAACTATATATATAACTTTTATTTAAATTAAATAAGGAATATATTTTAAAAATAGAAGGATATTTCCAATAGATTTGCAAATAAGAATATTCAGTTCTAATTGATGCAGTGTTATTACTTTTATTTTGTTCACTGTCATCATTATTGTTATTATTGTTATAAGTTAATCTATATAATATGCCATCTTCATTAAGATTAAGTATAAAAAATGTGCAGAATGATACAACTAATAGTAATTTAAGAAGAAGATATAATGTTTCTTGGGCAGAAAAGTCACATTCAGTTATTGTATATAATAGAAGCTTTCGAATCGATTTTAAAGCTGGTTTAGCAGATCTTATATTCTTAAGATAATTTGAAAATATTTCTTTAGATGTATCTGATCAAGGTTCTGATTTGCTAGTATACTTTGCAATATAAGATAGTGCAGTGTAAAAAGAAAGAATAAGTTTTATATTGACATTAGCTCTCTACTCTTGAAGCTGAATTCTGGAATATAGATTGACTAATAGATCATTACAACATAGAAATAGTTCTGGTTAATTATTATTATCAGATCAAACCATAATAAAATTATATAATTCTTTTAGATAGCCAAACTGACATTCTTTTGAATTTGTTCTTTTATTTAGTACAAGACAAGACAATGAACATTTTGTGTGCTTTTGAACTTTATTGACTAATTGGCAATAGTTATCAAAATCATCTACTAATTTGTAAAATAATTTTTAACAGAGATGTTGTTCTGAGGTATATATTGTTGTTGTATTTGGATTCATAGCTGTAACAATTAAATCAATATATGCAATTATATTGTTCATTGAATTTTCATTCTGTTGCATAGCATTCCAGTCAACAACTGGTGTATTAGAAACTTTTCTGATACTGTGTACATGTGCTGCCACTTATATTGATACCAATAATTGCTAAGACTTGACTTTGGTATTAATACATGTTTTAAAAATAACTCAAATCGACATATAAAAAACCATGTTGCTATATGTAAATTTTCATTTAGATTATGATAACATGTTTGAATAGCCTGTACTAAGCTAACATCTATAATATTGCTAATATTTGATATAAGGTTGTGAAGGTCTAGCCAATGTAAATCAGCTGCACTAAATGTAAAAAATATTAACCCATTTGCACCAACTTGTTTGATTATATCAATAAGTTTGTTATGCATTTTTTTCAATAAGGTTGTGTTCTCCAAAGAGTATTGCCATATTAAACAATTTGGTTAGGTAGTGAATTATTAATATTAAGTAATTCCTAAATATCTTCTGCTATAAGATATGTATCTTCTAGATTTTGCTGTACAAATATTTTATCTTTTTCAAGTGCTCTCTATCTCATTATAGTGTTTAATGCAAAATAACAAAATTTTTTATGCTATGCAAATTGTCCATCATAATATTTTATTAAATGTTCAAAGTATTCAGCAGAATATACCTGTTAGCATCATTGAGTACTACACAAATCTGCTTTTCTGCTAGGAAATAAAGTAGAAAATGCTTTAATTATATAACTAACCTCTTCAAATTCATTAATAGAACAATATTTAATAGTAAGCTAATCAATTAGTATAGCAGTATTTTGTTTACAAGCTGGTTTATTTCAGTATATATAGCAATTTCTTTAGTTTCTTTAGAAATAAGATTAGAGATAAAAGAATATTTAATATAGTCTTCACAAATATTAGACACATTACAATCCTAATTATAATTGAAAAAACTGTATCTTTAGTTATTAAATCATTATTATCTATAGCACATAATCAGTCAAATATAGAACTATCTTCTGGAAGAGTATTTAATATATTATAATCGATTTTAATATTGGAATAAAAAGGATTATTGATTTTAAGATAATTTAACCAGATTAAAATATTTGACTGTTTGACCTTAAATTCTTGAAATAATATAAAATTATAATTAGGTTTTCAAATAATTAAAGTATCAATTATAGAAGAATTTTGAGATAACTTTGTAATAAGCTCTTGAATATCTTGAGCAAAATTAATTACATGATCTCAGTATCCAAGCTGTTCACCTTGGAGCTTGTAAACAGTTAACATTGCAAGAATTTGTATAACAAGCATTTCTTCCACTTGACTAAGTTGAAGAAGCTTAGCAGAAATTTCTTCTGAAGATATAACATTTTAGTATTGCAGTCTTTTTATTACTAATCAGTATATATATATTTTTTTATGCACTAGAATCTATATCATTTTCAGCTAAAAACCTTCTTATTAATTTTTCTTTATTCCATCTATTGCATAAACCTGTCTTATGTACTAATATGATAGTAAGAAAACTCTCTTTATAGATAGGGCAGAAGTTGAATTTAAATGCAGAAACTGCTTCACAAAATTTCTTTAAAAGACCACAATCTTCATTTGAAAGCTGACAGGCAAGTGGTAATGATAAAACAGATTGATTTCTAAAAAAAACTTTAGTTGATATATCGTTCATACATTTTTATAATTTGTGATTTTCTTAAACATATAAATTAATATTATGTTCATCATTTGGGTTTACATTTTTTTTTCCAACTGTATTTTGACATTTACACTAATTTTGTCTTTTTGCTGATTTATTATCTTGGTAACTTAATCATTCTTCAGATGTTATAGAAGCTAATCTCCTTCTTCGAGCATTATTTCTTGTAGTTTTTTGCTCAGATGTGTAAATTCTTTTACAAGAAGTGAAAGTTTCTATTTAAGTGATTCTAGTTATTAAGAAACTGCAAAAAAGTTTACTCTAATCAGAAACTATCTTAAACAAAATGATACTATCAAATTCAGATATTTCTACCAAAGATGCAATGATTAGTTCTTTAACCAAGAATATACCAAATTTGATTAGTATTATGGAATATGCCCATAATGTTTGCAAGTTGGCCTACACACATGTTGTGTATCTTGTAAATCATCTGTAAACTTCTGCAGATGTGTATTCCGATGTGCATTAGCATATCTAACAAGAATCAAAGATAATAGTGAAGTCAAAACCTGGGCCAA